TTGTAATATAATTTTTTCTTTTTTATTTTTTTTTTTTCCCAGAATCGTTTACATAATTATGTTATGACTTCAAACGCCAGCATTAAACTAGAAAACAATTAGCGCATCATGTATTTGATCGTAAAAAAGGCTATCCCATTTACAAACTCGGAAAATTAATGTCAATGCAACCTTCAAAATAATTAATTCCTGACAAAAATGTAACTCACTAAACTAATGCTGCGGCAAACATATATTCTATTTATAACAATTTTAGTTTTTCCGGAAATTGTTGATCGTCTCTTTTTCGGTTGCTTTACAATTACCCAAGCCAAGAAAAAGCTGAAATAAATAATGAAATTCTAATGAAATTCAAAAAACAGTAATAATAATAATAAAAAAAAAATTCTAAAATTAGTCTTATCACAAATTTATTATTACTGGTTCTTTAGGCTTTTTTTTAAAAAAAAAAAATTTGAATTTTCATTTCAAATGGAGCAAGCAAATGTCGAAAGTGAAATACGGGGACGTCATTTTCAACTTCCATTCGAATTCAATGATAAGGACAGACTTGGACCGTGGGAAATTCTGCTCAGCGAAAGCACGATCAATGACTTACGGGAAATGCTGTATAATGAAGACTTCAAAGATATGCAATTAGAGTTACCTCTCACCATTGAAATGGTCATGAAAAAACTTAGGCAGTTATCATCCGGGGCGTGGAAAAAGTATGGTCTCCAACATGAAGCGTCATCTTACGATGTTCCCGTTTACAAAGTGGAGTTCCCTGATAACAATCTGAAAATCCTCTGGCAAGTTGACTATGGGTTCTCTATCCATAAATATTTGTATATGCAACATGTAAAGGTTTGGACTATCACTTCAAGTCAAGAAAAATTTGACACAACATTAAAAGCCCTTAAAAGAGTTCATAAGATCTACTCTTCCGAATATATTCGTCGGTGCTCAATCCTAAGGATGAGCAAAGACCATGTCGTTTTACCGGATTATTTTAAAGATAAGGGAACGAGGTTCACCAACAACGAGTTGGATAATGATAGACTATTAGAAGTCCATAAAATGTTTGTTACAAATAAATTTATACCTATATCTAAGGTAAAGTATGCACGAAGGATCGTCGTATTAACCATTCGACGAACAAATTCCTAAGTAAACCATTTTTCTCGCAGGATTTGTTCAGGTCGCTCATCCAAAGTGGCTCTGACTTCGCTTTTCTAGTGTCCAAGACCGAGTACGAGATAATTAGCGATCCTACGTCGGCCATCGTTTATGGTCGATCGGGTTTGTAATAATCTAGTTTCAGCTAATAACAAGCGAAATTGTTGATTTTTATCCTCTTCATATGATATAAAGGGACCGGCAAGACTACATGCATCGTATTCAGACAGCTCGTCTCTTATCTGAAAAGTCAACTTTACAAAACGCCGTCTTCGCGTGGCAATGATGAGTACTTGTACAAAAGACAAATATTTATTACGTTGAATCCCATTCTATGCTTGCGAGTAAAGAAATACTTCAGCCAGTTGCAAAAATCGGCGGAACTTAGCGGAGAGAAACTAACGAAGGCTCGGTTTCTTAAGTGGAAGAAGGATAACGACAGTAATAAGGAACTTGATGATGATAACATGCACGAGGAGGACGATGAGAAGAAAATTCTGGGTGAAATTCCGAACTCGTTCCGTCTGCTGACGGATCATCATTTCCCATTATTCGTTACTTTCAACAAGTTTTCAGAAATGCTTCAGGGGACCTACGGTATTGACACTCGAATGTTGACCACCAAACAAGTTCAAAGGCACGATGCTGACAATGATAACGCATACGATGAGGGGGAATTCCGTTTCAGGACTCCCTTTGCAAGTATGTCAAACGCTTCGTGGGCTCACTTTGTTGATTACAATCTTTTCGAAAAGAAATATTGGCCTCATTTCAGTGATTATTATAGAAAAAGGCTGGATTGCGAACTGGTCTACTCTGAGTTTTCAATTATCAAGGTATGAAACTATAAATTAAGCATTACGAATATAGAATTTTCGATTTTGCCACTTAAGAAGTTTTTCGATAATAATCTGAAGGGCACGAATATTGAGGTAGACTATCTATCAAGGGAAGAATACCGGTCTATGAGTACCAGGAAACACCCAGCATTCTGTCACAATCGTGATGAGGTTTATGATTTATTTGAGCGATATGAGATGATGAAGTCGCGGAATTATGACTTTGATTCGGTGGATCGGTAAAGACGGTATTTTTTTTTTTTTTTTAGTTTAATTAGGGCTTAATTAGATTTACATTTCCTTTTTCGTAGAACTCTGGCCATATTACGTGCAACAAAAACAAGAACATTTGGTGGACCTCACATTCATGAAGTGTACATTGATGAATGTCAGGATAACCAGATCATAGATTACGAGCTTATCTTGAAACTTTTTGACCGCGCTGACAGCATTTTTATGGCAGGAGATGTAGCGCAATGTATTGCTCGAGGGTCCACTTTCCGATTCCGAGGTATGCTTTTTTTTTTTATGTCCGAGAATAAATAGTTACTCTAATCTCTTATTTTTTAATTAAAATAGACTTATACGCATTGATTTACCAATGGAATCTCAAACGAGACCTGACCGAAAACATTCATTACAATCCCATAAAACCAAAAGAGTTTGAACTAAACACTAACTACCGCTCCCACAGAGGGATTCTTGAACTTGCTTCGTCAGTAATACACCTCCTCTGGAAATTCTTTCCTGATTCTATTGACAAGTTTTCACCTGAACTCAGCGAGGTTGGTGGTCCACAGCCTCTCATCATCGAGGATTGTCAAGCTGAAAACCTTTTTGCCTATAGAAATGATGTCGAAAAGGAAGATGCAAATATTGAATTTGGGGCTAGCCAGGTCATTATCGTACGTAATGAAACAGCTAAACAGCGTGTGAAAGATATAAACAGCAACATAGGATTGGTTTTAACTGTGTTCGAGGCCAAAGGCATGGAGTTTAATGATGTGCTATTGTATAATTTCTTTACTGATTCGGCTGCACTTTTAAAGGTGTGATATTATTAAAATGTGTTTTAAAGCACGATATAGTAATTTATTAAAAGCTGTTCGGATTATGTATATATGCATCCTATTTAGTGGCGAGTAATTCTCTCTGATTTGGATGATCATTCTGAGGGGAATCGGGAATTCTCTCCCGAGAAGCATTATATCCTTTCCTCGGAACTCAAACATCTCTATGTTGCAATAACCAGAGCCAGAGAACATCTCTGGATTTTTGATGAGGATGCTAAGTTGAGTGAGTCAATTCGGACATACTGGAAACACAAAAAGCTAGTTAAAAAAACGAATGAAATAGACATCTTCACCTTGACTAAGAAAAGCAGTCCGTCCGAGTGGAATTTTGAGGGTAAGGCGTTCTTTGAGCAACGGAAGTATGAACAGGTAAATGCTTAAATTTATTCAGCACGACACCAAATTGATCCGAGTTACTCAGCCTGACAGAATCACATTTAGGCCATTTTCTGCTTCAAAAGTAGTCGAAATGAGAAAGCCGAAAATTTAGCTCGTGCGTATCATCTTCAACAGATTGCCAGGACTTCTTTCGTAAGTGGTTTTGATGAAAAAACAGTGAGGTCCAATTTTAAATCTGCTGCTGAAGCCTTTGAAGAATGTTCTCGATTGCCACAGGCGGCTTCATGTTATGAGGTATAACTTTACTTTCTCGAAACTTTTACGGATTATATAGTCTATATTGCGTAGATACTTCAACCTTTCAATCCTAGTCTAATGTGTTTCATTTGCATTTAAAATTGCATGATGAAATTTAAAACATTCAGAACATAGGAATGTATAGAAAAGCCGGTGATTTCTATTCTGAATCACAAATGTTTGAGCCTGCCGCGCGTTGTTATCTTGAGGTCAAGATGTGGAACGTAGCAGGTGGGTATTTTGAAAAGGCGAAACTGTACGATGACGCGGCTCTTGCCTATAAAGATGGCAATCTTAATGATATGATAACTGATTTGATTCGGAGGTAAGCTTTAAGCAACCTTAAATTCCTCTTAAGAATCTTCCATCATAAAAAAAATTAATAATAGCGTAACACTCGTCTATACATTAAATAAGGCACAGACAAGACATCAACGTTGAAACGATCAGCCAACTCAATCTCCACTTTCGTCAAGAAGCAGGTAACCTTCAATCTCACAATAAGCTCGAAGAGGCTGCCGATATGCTTAACCGTTCGGTTGATGATAACGATATAGTTGATGGGTCTAAGCACTTATTACGCTTATGCAGAGATATTGTGCTGAAAGCGCTTATTATAGGTTTCGCAAGCTCAAGCCTGCAGGAATTACGTAGGCTCCATTCCAAAGCGTCTAAGACTATCTCAAAAGTTAAAACTCATGAACGATATAATAGTCTTGATGATGAGTCTCAATCATATATTTCTTATTTTAATAAGGATCTCGATATTTATGATATGGTAACTGAATTAATTAAAAGGTAACCAGATAAATAATTGTAAATTCCCGTAATAATCTTTCATTGACTGTCAATTCGTAAAATAATAATAATATTATTAATAATAATGCTTTGTTTAAACTATGAAATAAGGCACAGGCAAGATATCAACGGTGAAACGATCAGACAACTCAATATTCACTTTCGCCAAGAAGCAGATAATCTTCTTTCGCAAAATAAGTTCGAAGAGGCTGCCGATATGCTTAACCGTTCGGTAGATATTGACGAGAATATAATTAATGCATCTCAGTATCTATTGTGCCTATGCAGAGCTATTGTACTGAAAGAGACGATTACAGGTTTCACAAGCTCAAGTTCCCTACAGGAATTACGTAGGCTCCAATCCAAAGCGGCCAAGGCGATCTCCAAAGTTAAAATTCAAACTAAGAGATCAAAGAGTCTGATGGAAGAGTCTCAGTTATATATTTCTTATATAAATAAGGATCTTAATAAAGTATATGAGTGCGGACAATTTTTCATGAAAAATGAAGAGCTTGTCACTGAGTTTTTTGCAGTAATCATGTGGCTGCAGTTCCCTTCACCATCTGATATTAATATCAAGTATTGGGATGAGCGATTACAATGCCTGCTGAGACTGTGCAAGTTGGCATTTCCTTATTTAGTACCACAAAAAAAAGACAAAATTGCAAAAATCTCGAAAGTATTCGAAGATATTTTTTTCTGCTTTGAAAGCAAAATAAATAATCCTCGAAGACGGAAAATTTATTTTTACAACCCTCTTTATTACCTAATTGATATCAAACATAAAAATAATGAAGCAAATACGAACAGTTGGAAGGTTTATGACTTGGATGTTGTGCATCAGAAAATTTCGCAGTTCCTTATCTCATATATCTACGACCTAATTTCGAAAGTCAGTCAAGATGGTAGAGATAATCTGGATATAGCCTCAATAATCTGCTATGATTTTGCATCATCGGGTAATTGTCATTCTTCAAATTGCCAAATGCATCACGTAACTCCAACACCATTACTTCTGTTCCAGCGCCTGAAACTTGCAAAACTCCAATACACAGTGGTGAGACAATTGGATGTATTATACCGCCAAGGACTACTTAAAGAGAAAAGTCAAGAGTTCCTTGCATCACAAAATTGGTGGGCCGAAAATCTTGTAAAATGTCACATGCGCTATCAATCACCGCATACAAGCTGCCCAGAGGTTATTTACATGGCTCTTTCCAACCTTCCTAATCACACTCGTGATGGCCTTATAAATGAAGCTTACAAGGCATGGTTATTTGAGGAGTCCAGGAATGCTGACGACTTTGAGGTTATGTTAAAATGTATGTTTTATATACAACAACTGCAGGACAAAAGTGTTATTGATGAATTCTGTCAGGAGATGTCGAAAACAAAAATACTTTCACACCCTAACGATCTGCCCGTTGGATTTGAATATTATTGTGGAAATTATCAAGCAGTTCCAGTTGGGAGACATCTCTCGCTGTTTTTCTCGTTTCTTTATTCTAATAAAGTAATTCCCGCGATCATAAGCTCAATGACGTTTATTAATCATACCATAAAAAATATTGAATTCAATCTGGTTTCGACCGAAGCTCTTGGAGATCTTACATCTCTCTTGGAATTTACCACGTCTTTGATTTTCACAGTTGGTCAAAAGTATTGCGATTTATGTCTTCCTCGAGCTTATCTGATTAATTATTTTGAAGCATTTACCTCGAAATCGCTCATTCCGGGTCGAAATACTTACAGCAGAAAGAATTATCTGTCTGCAATTAATAATTCCATCGATCAAGTTCAACAGCTTCTCGACCTGTTGTTTTGCAATGAGCAGGTTTACTTGACAATTATCCTTCGACTGATACGGCTTTTGATTCTTATCGGACTAAATGAATCAAGTTTTGCGCAAGAGATCCTTAAACGTTTCAAAAACATTCATAGTAAAAACAAAATCTTTTCTACAAAAATCAAGAAATACTTAGAAGAAAACGAGTTTGTACGTCTCGTGGAAATTCTTTATAACGATCTCAAGGAGATACGTTGTGACTCCTTGGTTATCGTTCATCATCAAAGTAAAAGCAAATCGAAATTTGCTTACTTTGAAAAAAATGGAGTCAAAAGTCTTACATACAATTCTATTGAGGAATTCCGTTCTTCCCTTCGAAAGATTATATCTTCCGCTACCGGCATTCCGGATGATCAACTCGCCTTCCTTGATTCTCTTGTTAAAAGTTAAATTATTACTCCATTCTATATTCTTAAGTTTTTTTTTTCAATTTTATTTTACTTTTACTATTATTTTATTTATTAACAAGAAAGCTAGCATATTGTGTTTTTCGGGGGCGGGACTTCGCTCCATTATTATTGTTATTATGTATTATTACTATTTAAACCATTATATTAGCAATGAAAGTAATATTGTTGTATAATCATATTGTAATAAATGTCAAAAACATATGTATTTTAGTCATATATTTCTGACCAATGAAATTATGATTTACATTAAGCTTTAAACACAAGTACATTTATTGTGAAAAAATACGACATAAATATTCGTTCAATATCTGCAGATTATGTTCTCTTTATTAATGTCATACGAAATTAATAATTAATTTTATAGCTCTCACTATTAATCTTAAATTTAAAACCGCTAAAAAGTTAACGAATTAATGAATTAAAAGAATTATTAATTAAAACGATAAACTGTTACACATTATCTTCGCGTCTTGAACGAATATTTCAAAAAGTATCAAATAAAAAAAAAAAAAGAAAGTCATCATCGTTATAATAATTTCATCAATTTAAATGAGTTCCAAAGTAAGAAACACACCAAATTTTACAATATTTTTATTCTTGGTTAGAAAATACAAATCATTTTCATTTCGTTACGTCAAAAAATCATATAAAATAACTTTGATTTAAAAGTTTTCATTATCCAATAAAAGAAATAAAAATTACTTCGTGTCTTACGTCATTTAATTCAATAAACAATATATAAAATCTACGAAAAAAAGTTAGCTGAAAAAATATTGTTGTATTCAATTCTTTCGTTTATGATTTATAAACAATTTCGTATTGTAAGAAGAAGGATTTTTATTGAAACGCTAAATTTATCAAATTAATCAATGTTGCCGCTCTTCACTTTCGCAATGTTAATACTGTAATATTAAACTAAAACTAATTAATTAAAACTGCGCAAATACTATATAAATAAAATAATAAGAAATCGGGATTTTAAAAATAAACGAAGTTACAAAGTTGACTTTATGATGTTAAAACGGCGAAAGCGAAGGAAGAAAAGAGGCGACCGCGGTCAAAAATGATCAACAATCTACATGCGAAATTATTGGTCGATTTTTATTCTAGAACAATTAAATGATACTGTATATTTTAATTATTTTGTAAATAATGTCACAAAGTTGTTATCAGTGTAATAACTGCATTCCAAGCAAGACAACAACGGAGATTTTTATTGCTTTTCATATCCAATTTTACCCCTAAAACTCCCAACATCAGAATATATTTTCCGTTGAAATAAGCAAAAAAAAAAATATTGATCATTTTCGTCAGATATATTTCTTATTTTTTTTTTTTTTACATTTTTCGCACGAATTCCCTCTTCAAAAATGTTGACTCCAAATTTAGTTGAAAACAGCAGTCAGAAAAGTAAAGAAAATTCGAAATAAATTTGATGCCATAGTCCATAACTATCAATCAAGAACTTCCAAAATTTAGTTTAGAAGATGCAAAGTAAGTGTTGTTTCACCAGTTTCGTTAGGCTCTACTAAATGTTAACTCGTATGGTTTGCAGTTTGCCATTACAGATTGGGAAGAACTTTTCGTTGAATGAGTATAATACCTTTGATCGCAACGAATCGACTTTTATTGGGAAAGCAAAAACGTTTACATTGTTGATATGGCTATACCAGCGCACGAAGCCGTTATTACTTTGCTTCAAGGTTATTTTAAAGTCCCCAACGGCGGCATATTTATCAATCTCCCAATAAATGTTTTAGGCCAACCATGTAAGAGGCTTTTCTCTAGTTTTTACTTGATCTTTGAATCATAATAACACTTTACGTTTTCATAAAGATCATTATGAACTTTCCTATAACACATCCACTTTAAAAGTAGCTGCTGATGTTACTATCTGCCCAGATGTGACACATATTACAAACTGGATCTTCCCCTTGTGATGTAGAGGTACATTTGAGGTTATTTATATATTGTCATATTTATATTGAACCACTTTCTTAATATTAGTATGTTCACATAGTCCCAAAAAATTAGTTTATGGAATATAAAATGTGAAAATTGGATGATTCAACAATGTGTTCGAATACGTACTTGGTATAAAGAAAGGAAAGGAACAGAACAAATGATCGGTCCGTGAAGGTACGTTTTGCTAATTACTATGGTTTCGTTTCCATTCCTTTTGCATATTAGGCCAAACTATGGTCACGTGTAGCAGTTCCACCAACAGGACCTGTGGCCACACCAGTAGCAAGACTATCAGGCAGATTTGTTCAAGAGGTAATATCAACTCATTATTCTTCCTTGTGATCAATCATCAGAAACTTAAAAGTGTAACCTTTGTTAACATAATAATGGGACTTTGGAACGGTACAATATAATAATAATCAACCCACTGGTTGTAATGCTGCAGGTAGTGCTCCGAGCCGGTCGAGTCGACCGACCTGACTCGAATTTTTTCTCGAGTCGGGTTTATCATTTTTATGACACGAGTCCTAATTCGATAAAACCCGTCAGATTCGGGTCACGTTTTTCCTTGACCCGGGTGACCGGGTGACCCAGATGATCAGTGATCTAATTTTTCGTAATATAAATTACGCGCTAGACTAATTTACATTACGCGACTTGAATTTGTAAACAAATAATATATAATGAGTGAAACTATAGACATTACCAATATAGACGTTACCGAA